TTTGTTTGTTTTTTAAGAAACTTCTATTGTAGGAGGTTTCCATGTGACTCCTCAAATGGCCTAGCTTTATTTTGTTTTAATTACTGTGAGGTGAGTAATGGACATCTTAACAGAATTCTCTAAACTCACAACACCAATACGTTTCAATAAGGTTTTCACTCTTATAGTGAAAGACCCCAGACCCCTAAGAGCCTCAGGATCCTGAGGAGCCCCCAAGACTCAGAAACCAGACCAAGAGCTGCAAAAGCAAGAGGGGTTTATTGAAGGAATGCGCATTCGGGTGTCAGCAATATCGGGAAAGCTGCACACCCCAGCATGGGGTGCAAGCTCCTTATATAGGAAAAAAACCACAGATCAGCATACAGGCAAGGGGCACAAAGTGATTGATTACAAAGTATGATCTCATGTTAGAGTGGTCACCCAGGTGTGACCTGCTTTTTTACAAAGGAAAAACCACAGAACGTACCCTGAAAAGTCCTTGATTGTCTGTTGGCCAGCCGAGGGTTGTCTTGGCGATTGCCCCCGTCTAAACCATAGGATGTGCCCGGGGTTGGGGCAGCTTCCTTGTAATGGGCCAAGGCCTGTGGTAAACTTTTTCTCTCTGTGAACTAAAATCTTTCAAACCTTTTTCTCTCAGCAAACTAAACTCTTTCAGTAGGCTGGTCTTGAACATGAAATCTTGCTTCAGCCTCCTGAGTGCTAGGATTATAGGCATGTGCTGTCATGGTTTAAGTATTATATTTTTGCCTTACTCAAAATTCTTTTGAGTTGGGCTTAGTATGTCATTATAAGAATGCCCCTTGGTTTCTCCCTGAGACAGGGTTTCTCTGTGTGTTGCTCTGGTTGTCCTGGAACTTGCTCTGTAAACCAGACTGGCCTCGAATTCACAGAGATCCACTGCCGTTGCCTCCTGAGTGCTGGGATTAAAGGTGTGAGCCACTACCACCCAGCCTTAATTTGGCTAATGCTTAAAAATGTTCAGATTTTTCTTTTAAATTCTTACAGATTCATCTCATGCATAGATACCTCCTATAAGTGTCTTTTGCCCTGCCTTGCCTGTATGCTGATTATGATTGCCTATTAGGGTGAAAATTCTGCCTTTCAGTTTGGGGCATTGAATATTATTTTAAATTTGTAAAGATTATGAAATGTCACATTCTAATGCTGGGGCTGAAAATGCTAACAACTCCATGAACACAGGCTGAATTTGTTTGCCCTCTATTCGTGGAGGTTTATTTATTTGTTTGTTTGTTTGTTTGTTTGTTTAATTTTTCTAGATAGGGTTTCTCTGTGTATCCCTGGGTGTCCTGGAATTTGCTGTGTAGACCAGGCTGGCCTTGAACTTAGGGATCCACCTTCCTCTGCCTCCCAAGTGCTGGTATTAAAGGCACGTTCCATCCACACCCAGCTTAGGAGGTGGGGTGTCAAAGTTGTACTCATTTTTAGGGGGTGCTGAACAGTTTTTGCCATCATGTACTAAGTAAATTAGCCTCACCCCCACTGGAGTATTCACGTGTAAAATGAACACTTGTAGGAGTAAGGACCCTTTTCTTTTCTTGAAAGAACCTTAACAGTTCTGCATTTCTTCCTAGTTAAAAATTCTTCATGATTTGCTTAGAAGCACATTGTTTTTTGTTTTTGTTTTCTTTTGTCATAAAAGTAATGCAGTGTGACTTTGGGCTTTGTTTTGTAATTCTAATTGGAAACTTCCAATATTTTGTTACATTAAGATTTTAATGGTGTTAACATCAGCTTTTAACTCTCAGCTTAGGAAATACACACAACCAGCTAGTTACGAATGTCTGTTATTCTTTTTTTTATTTTTCTTTCAGATTTTTTTTTATTTGAATTAGAAACAAGATTGTTTTACATGACAACCCCAGTTTCCTTCTCCCTCCCCGTCCTCCCCTACCACCTCCCCCCCCCCAACCAAAACCCCCCCTACCACAACTCCTTCGACAGGAATTCTGTAGTATTTTGGAAAATATCAGAGTATTTATTGAGTTATTTTTAATTCATACATTTTTTTCACACATGTAACTTAATTGCCAGATGAAAGTACTTCGGGAAATCCTCTGAGTGGAATGGGCTCCCAAAGTCCACACCTATGCTAGGGATAAGTACTGAACTACTACAGGTGGTCCTGTAGATTCCCGAGCTTTCCTCAATGAAACCCATGTTCCTGGGGTCTGGATCAGTCCCATGCTGGTATCCCCGATGTTCAGGTCAGCTGTTTCTGTGGGTTTCACCAGCTAGTTGTGAATGTCTCTGTTATTCTTATGTGACCTCACATAGGCCCTCTGAACACCGTCTGGGTGTTGTTCTGTGTAATTGTCAAATGTAGGCACAACAACAATTCTATTGTGACTTTCTTTTCCTTTATTTGAAAAAAACTGCGTTTTTTTTTTTATTTTGATTGATGCCTCCTTTGAATTATTTAGATAATTATAGTAGCTAACGTAGTTGAGCTGTCAAGACTCTGCCTTCGATTGAGGGGTGATTGCAATCAGGAAAACATGGTTGAGAGTTTCATGTTGGTTTTCTTGTCTTTATGGTCCTACATTGTGTTTAAAAGGCATTTTCTTGGCAAAAACAAATCAAGGAAATGACTTCCATGCTAATCTCATCAGCATGATTTATAGCAGTCAGGAGATCTTTTTAAGTCATTTGAATAGTTTTTAGGCCACAGGGCAAATCAGATGTGCCCCATGTGCCCCATGTGCCTTGCTGTTTCTTTGTAGACATGAGTGGACATTTTCCTAGGAGGAAAATCTATAGTTATCCAGAGTTGCACCTGTGGTGTTTCTTCATCTCACTCTTGTTTGCCTTGATATTCTAGAGACCATTGCCATGTACTGAGCAGATTCGCTCAGGAAACCCTTAAGAGAGTTTTTACATTTTCTCTGAGAGCGGTCTTTGGAACTCTGGTGGCATTCGAAGTGAAAGCTGGAGTTACTGGAAGGTGCTTATTACTTTTAAAACTATGGAATACTGTTCTATATTTTCCATTACTAAGCTTAGAGTAGTGCTTAGAAGATTCCCAACAGTTACTTGTTTTCCTCATGGTTGCAGATTTTACACACCAACAATCTTGAACCTATTATTAAGTATCAAATTCACATTCAGGGAATTAACAAAGTCATAAAGAGTAATACAGAAATGAAAGAATAAGTTCAGACGTATCCTTTCTCTGTTTAGGAAATAGAGATTTAAGATTTAATATTCTTGATGTTAAGATACAGTTTAGTTGTATTACTCTAACTTTAGTTGTCCTGCTATTTCCTAAAAATGAGGGATATATAAATTACTTTATAATTTGTGCCAGGTGGTGGTGGCATACACCTAATCCCAGCATTTGGGAGTCAGAGACAGGTGGATCTCTGTGAGTTTGAAGCCAGCCTGGTCTACAGGGTGAGTTCCAGGACAACCAGGGCCACACAATGAAATCCTGTTTTGAAACAAAGAACAGTTCAAAATCCTGTTTTGAAACAAAGAACATTTCCAGAAGTGAGCAGTTGCCCAGCAGTGTTGTTGGTAGCTGTTGCCTTTCAGGATCCCATGAGTCTCTGAGCACCTCTCCTCCTGATTGCTTTGGAGACTTATTGTTACTCTCTGCTTAGAAGACCTTAGAAGACCTTAATGTTCTGATGAAGGCATGTGTATCTGTTTGTGGAGAACATGATATCAACAGCCAGTTGTGTATAGGTTTGCAGGTGTCTAAGGGCTAGTCATACTTGCAGCTACAGCTGCTGGTTTTGAGGTTAAGTGGTGTCTGAGTAGATTAAGGCTGGTAAAACAGACTAAGTAGCTTAAGACACAGGCTGCATTCTTTGTAGCTCTGAAACCTTGGAAGTTGCGTTTGAGATATGGACCAGAAGTGTCCTTCCTGCTGTGTCTTCACATGGAACAAGGAAGAGTGGGATTTGCTGAGAACTTTCTAAGGCGCCAGTCTCACTCCTGAGATCTCCACCCTCCTGTTGTGAACTCCTCCCAAAGCCCCACCTGCTAATTCCATTACACTGGTGTCAGGAGTTCAACATGTGTATGTTAGAGGCTCACACACGCTAAGTCCATCATGTTCTGCTACTGGGCCTCCTAATTCACATCCTTCATATAGTAGGTTGCTTTCATTTCTTCCTAAGAGCCAGTCTTAGGCTTTTTAAGTTTCCAGAGTTATCAATCATACCAAAATTTCATCATTCAGTGCTGGTGGTGGTGGGTCGAGACCCACCCTCAAAATAGAGAGTGGCATTCATCTACACCTGTTACTTACGTGTCCTTCTACCAAAGCAACCCCAAGGTCAGATGGTTATGGTGCTCACTGCAATAGGGGACAGCAGATTCTGAAAGACTGGCGCATTCGGCTTTGATATTAAAAGTTTGTGTAGCATTGTATAGTGGATTGAATTATATCACTTCTGCACGCCCATTCTCCAGAAGATATATTGGAAATCTTAATCCCCGTAACTAGGAATGTGACTTCAAGAAACACCAAGGACTCCTGGTGACCATAGAAGTTAGAACTAGGAAGGAAGGGGATCAGTTTTTAATTTTTAATGTCATTGCATTGTTATTTTGATAGATTCTGTTAAGAAATATGGCTGTTATTCACTAATAAGGTTGACTATCCTTCATCCAAAATGAATGCATGAGAGAGAGAGAGAGAAAGAGAGAGAAGAGTGAGTGTGTGTGTGTTATGGGACTCAAGTCTAAACACAGTTCTATTTTTTGTAGTATTTTTAATGATTTTGTTCATGAAACAGTTTCATGGCATGGAAGTTTCTTGTCATGTCAGGTCTAGGATTTTGGAGCATTTTGAATTAAGGGTGTTCAACCTGTGAAAGACTGAAAAGACAAACAAGCGTGCATTTTACCTACTGTTTCCAGGTTTTGTTCATACTGAAAAGCAATAACCTGAAGCTCAATGCACTGTGCTTGGATTTTACAGAAAGACTTTGTATTTGCCAGTTCTGCCCTTTCACTCATTGAGAAATGTGTGTTTGGGCAAGCCACGGATTTCACCTGTTTCCTCAGCTTATAAACCTAAGCTACCAGTGTGAGCTTCTGGAGGTTTGTTGTGAAAACTGAATGTCATTGGAGGTTCATTGCAAAATACTGTGGGAACTCTTGAGCTCTTGGCACTCACGCATTATTCTCCCCGGCTGCAGTTGTTGTGAGCTCAGGGTTTGAAGGTGACAGCAGGCTGGAGATTGTCCCCACCCTAGCCCATCCCAGCAGCAGCTTTCAGTGCACTTGGAACCTCAACACATTCTCCAGGAGCTACTGTGCAGCCAGGGCTGAGCCGAGAAACACACACACCAGTGCCTCTGCTGCTTCTGCTTACGCTCTGTTCTTACTGGTCATTTACCTGCTGATTTTAAGTAAGTCTGATTTTTTTATTCAGCAGGAAGATTCTAAGTTTTCAGGTTACCTGCTAACCAAAGGTTGTAAATGTAGAGTTCATGATGCACCCAGCAGCAGAACAAGTGCTTTGTGTGAACAATACCTGAGTTCCAGCAACTCACAACTTCCTATATTTTATATAATCTACATATTTCCCTTATTGAGGTTGTTCTGTCCATTTAGGTTGTTTTCCGTTTCCCAGCATAATTAATTAATTTGGGGGTAGCATGATCAGTAGCCAGCGGTAAAAAATGTTTTCTTCCAGCAGACCCAATTACTCAGAACAAATAATACCAATGTTCATATTAAAGAATGAGTTCATTAAAATGTTCTTTCTTGTCCCAGGTAGGAAAACTAACCAGTGTGATAGATTTCTTTTTATAAACAGTATTCTCTTTAAGAGTTTGTTTAGATGCTGTTTTTGGACTGTAGCTGGCTATAGTCACCAGCACCCAGTTTTAAAATGTCCCCTCACTATGCTGCTGTTCCTCTCCTAGTGGGCCTTTGGAGTGACACTGTGGGAGCTCATGACTCTGGGCCAGACGCCCTACGTGGACATCGACCCTTTTGAGATGGCTGCTTACCTGAAAGATGGCTACCGAATAGCCCAGCCAATCAACTGCCCTGATGAATTGTGAGTATTTTAGATCTTGGACATGAGCTTTGAGGCATTTACTATATTATTATAGAAGTAGGAAAACAAGTTCTTGTGTTCACACAGAGCCTTCCCCTTTGAGAATGATGAGTCTCCAAATGTGATGAGACCTTGTTGAAAACCACAGTCCCTGTTTACTGCACTTGGCATTTTATATCAGTGGTGTGTAGTCATAATTACTAAAAGTTGGCCTGAGAATCTAAAATAATAGTGAGGAAACTGATAGGATATTGTGTCAATTACCTGACTTTTGTTTAAACAGACATGTTTAATAAGATACAGTACTTACAAAAGCCTTTTTTGGGGTCTAAATTTAGATGCCCAGCACCCACTAAAAAGTCATGTATGGTCATGTGTGTCTGTGACTGTACCACAGGGTGGGTGGAGACAAACAGATCCCTGAAGCTCATTGGCTAGCCATCCTAGCTGCATCCTGGCTTATTCCAAGTTCATTAAGATACCCTGACTGAAGAAAGAAAAGAGTAGAGATGATACTCAGTGTTGACCTCTGGCCTCCATACACATGCACACAAACATGCATACACCCACATAGACATAGACACATACCCCACGAGAGATCAGAGACAGACACCTTTCTCTTTATGACCTTGTCTTGCCCGGCATCAGTGATGCTTAAGGAAGATGCTCTGGCCTAGCAGGTGGCAGGTGCTTCTGGCCTCCTGCCACCATCACGTCTTCTCCATCCTGGCTGTGGGGTGCACAGGGTCCGGTTGGGGAAGTGTGTGCAGAAATGAATGCTGTCTACAGAGGCCCCAGAAGGTTTCTCTGCCAGTTTTAGGCATTTCATCTGAGTTCCTCAGCATTCAGGACCACACAGGCTCTTATTCTGATTGTGTTCTGTGTGTTTACAGGAAGCTCTGCACTTGCTGAGTATTTTGTATTCTCATGAAGAACTGAAATCCATGTGTGTAATCCAAATAACTCAGCTTCTTTTCACTTCTAAAACTGCCAACACATAGTCAGAATAAGCTTGTTAATAGGCTGTCTTCTCCACAACTGCGTTTGAACAGAAAATGTAACCGGCACAGAATTGACTGAAAGGCCACATTTGTTGTTGCTAGCCACATTTCCATGTCACTCTACAGGTTTGCTGTGATGGCCTGTTGCTGGGCCTTGGACCCAGAGGAGAGGCCTAAGTTTCAACAGCGGGTCCAGTGCCTGACAGAGTTCCATGCCGCCTTGGGAGCCTACGTCTGACTTCTCTCCCAGCCCCACAGCCCGGAAGCAAGTGCCTGTTCCAGATGCTTTACACGTAGCACAGAGCCTGCAGAAGCACGTTTGTCTCCCAGAACACCGTGCCTTAGGAATGCTTTCAAACCTGAACTTCTAAAGACAGACTTAATGTGGAGTATTTTCTAGATACCACTTTTATTAGGTTGAACGGAAAGGGGTTTTGTAAATTTTTTGGCCAAAAAATTTTTTAAAATATAGTTACTTTGGACTAGGGGGTGCATTCTTAAAAAAGAAATAAACAGTTTTAAAAATTGTTTAGACACAGATATTTGGAATAGCTGTCTTAGTGCCAACTGCTTTTATTTTTATGTTTTACTTCTTTGAGGTAATCTAGGTGACTCACCTTTAAAAGTGTTTTAACGTTTTTTTGTCACTGCTTTTGGGAATGGTTTGCCTTCAAGATATGGTACTCTTCTTAGGAAAAACAGCATGAAAAGATGTATGTTAGCAGAAGGAAAATTAAAGAAAAGATGAAGAGAAAAAGAAATATAAAAATAACAGCAACAACAAAAGCCACAGTGTCCCTGCACGGAACATTGTGTAGTGAACGTGGCTCTGCTTTCTTGTTTGGGGAGGCAGTGGCTGAGTTCAGCACATCTCAGCTTTCCTGTGACCTAGAAGAGGGCTGGGGGCAGATTCGTAGGAAGCGGTGGTAACCTTATTTATTTTTTGCTCTCTGGGCAAGGAGATGATACAGTTCTAGAAAGTGAACCCTCTCTATGCCTGGGGTTCCCTCTGTGTGCACCTGGGGTTGTGCTATGCAGAGCTGGAGTTATTGTGGGTTTGGGTTGTTTTTAGTTTAAATGGGCAATTTTTATGCTTATCTTCAAGGCTGGCTTAAGTATAAATTTGTTTTTTTAAAACACTTGAAAAATTAAAGGACTCATTTTATATGATGATATTCAAACACTGTTCATAATGTGTGATTGGTGGTTGTGTCTCGAAAGTCTTTGAACGTGCAACCACTGGATGGTCATGTTTTTATCTCATGAGAGTGTGCCTCAGGTTCCAAAACCCTAACAGAAAGGCAGCTGACTCTGGCCTCTGTGCCATATGAATTTGGAATTACTATTACAAGGAAGTGTCACACAGAGACATCTCTCCAGAACCTGTAAATGGCATGTGTGTAGCTTTGCACAGATTTAGTTGACCTAAGGGAGAGTCAAGTGGGCTTGTGAACTGACTGGGCCTGTAGCTGCCTGCCCCTGTGTCCATCCTCGCAGGGCTATAAGAGAGAACATGAGTCTATTACATTAAAAATAAGCCTTATGAATAAGCAGAATATCTGAGAAGACAGCTCCCACAAGCAATCAGTACCTCACTGTCCCTCATACAGTGTCCTGCACACAGCCTAATTACTGGTGTTTGTTCATGATGTGCTTCATTCCCAGATGTCTGGGTTTTAAAATGCTTCTTTTGATGTGCTTGTAACTTGGAGATGCTTTGTTAATAGCCTACATCTTAGAAGGCATCCAGTCAACAAATACTAGGATGTACATTAACTACATACAGCAATTTGGTTCTTATCCCTTTTTCAACATTCAGTGTGATCTTTTTGTCTTCAAATGAGAATAACGTTTAGAAGTCACAGTTCAGTGTACAAGAATTGCAAGAAAAAAAGGGGGAGAATTGCTGGGGCTGGAGGGATGGCTGGGTGGTTAAGACTGCTTACAGCTCTTCTAGAGCACCTGATTTTAGATCCCAGAATGCACAGCAGACGGCTCACAATCACCTGTAACTCCAGCACCAGGGGATTCCACAGGTGCCAGGCACACCTACACATGATGCCATAAACTTATGAAGACACATAGCACACTCATACACAGAGACAGACAGACAGACAGACAGACAGACACACACACACACACACACACACACACACACACACACACGCACACACTCGTGCACAATTTGTTTGGAAAGTAAAGTGAAAACACGCTTCAGTTGACTTGGGCTTTTGTTAACACTCTTTTGCCTAAATACTTGTGCACGCTCCTTTGTTTCCAGTAGGTTTTTTTGAACTGTTTGGAGATAGTGACGAAGGAAGAAAAGAACAGTTCCCAGTTTTCCATGGCCAATCCTCATCCAGTGGCTTGTGTACCTTGTGAATATTGCTGAGCAGTTTTTCCCACCGGAAAATGTAGGTTTATAAGAAGCAAATCAGAAGCACACAAGATGTGACGCTGTAGGCTGTCTCTGCTGACAGTACTTTTTGAAAGTTTTTTTGGTATAGCATCTTGCTATGTAGCCCAGGCTAGGCAAGCACTTTACCACCTGAGCCGTCTTGCCAGCATCACATGCTGTAATAGGAAAATGAGAACACCAGTTAGCTGGGTCCTTGCGTGTGGAAGCTACTAACATTCTCCTAGGATGTTTCTACCAACATCTTGCTGGAACTGCAGCCCATGGGTACACATGGCTACTAAGCATTCTAGGAAAAAAAATAGAATTATCTTTATTTTATGTGTGTGAGTGTTTGCATGTACATATGTGTACCATGTGTGTGCCTGGTACCTGTAGAGGCCAGAGGAGAGTGTCAGATGCCCTGAAACTGGAGTTACAGATGATTGTAAGCCGCCATGTATGTGTTGGGAATGGAACCTGGCCTCTCTGCTAGAGCAGTGAGTGCTCTAACCACTGAACTATCTCTCCAGCCCAGAAGTTATGTTTTGTTGTGTTTTTAAAAAGTGGCTTTACTGAGATATAAATGATATCTCCCCCATTCAAAGTAGATGGGTTTTGATATGTTCATTGTTGAATAGTCATCAACCACAGAGTCTAATTCAGTTTATTTTAGTTTTTGTTTTATGGGTTGTTTGTTTGTTTGTTTGTTTGTTTGTTTGTTTGAGATAGGACCTCACAGTGTAGCCCAGGAGGTTCTCAGACTGTGGCCCAGGCTGACTGTGCATTCATCCTGCTTCAATCTCATAACTGCTGGAAAAAAAGGGTAGAGGCACCCCTGTGCCTGATTTTCCAGTTCATACTTACTGCCCCTAAAAGAAGTCCCTCACATTCCTTTCCTGTTCTTAGCTCTAGGCAGTTACTAATCCCCTTATCTCTATTCTGAACTTTCCATTCTGTGGAGTCATATAGTAAGTGGTCTTTTGTTTCTGACATCTTTAACTTAGCACTTGGCTTTCAGATTCTTCCATGCTGCAGCGTGGCCAGCAAATATTTCATTCTGCTGAAAAATATTCCCATGTAAGGATATGCAACATTATCAGATGACACACTTGGGGAAATTGAGTTTGTTTAATCACATTCTCACCAGGATGAAAGAGGCTTTCAGTGGGTCAGGATGGGGAATGGGGTAGCCACTGTGTGGAGATGGACTCCTACCTGGCTTCCCCCAGTCATGTGTTTTGCACCTCAGGAGCTGTCAGATGTGAAGGGAACCAGGGTAATTCTAAGGTGTGCTCAGCTCACTTGGATTCAAGTTAGTGAGGACCACCACTGTTTGAGGAGAAAGGCTGATAAGAGTCATTGTCTAAGCTTTTACTTTTTAGTTCTTGGTCCAGAAAGCCCTACCAGTCCATCATGGCTCTTGCTACTTTGACTTCTGGCCTTCCTTTTTTTGTGCCAATCTGTATTAGGGTATGCAAAAGTAAGTATGTTCTTTGTACTTGGCATTGTACAATCTACCTCAAGGTGCCTTTGCTCTAGCTTTGTGATATAACTACCTAGGACCTTTGGCCTCTGGATAATCCAGAAATTGGCCATATGCCTATGCAAAAATTAATAGTCAAAGAGCTTAAGCCTTCACCTGATGACACATAAATCTTGGACTATGTCTTATATCTTTATATGTATATGTACAAGAGGTTTATTAACATTTTCTTTTGAGACCAAATCTCACAATGTAGCCTAGAACTCTTGAGCCCCTGTCTTGGGCAGTGGAATTACACGTGTGCCAGATAGACATTTTAATTTAGTGTGTGTCTGTGTGTGTGTCTCTGTGTGTGTGTGTGTGTGTGTGTCTCTGTGTGTGTGTGTGTGTGTGTGTATGTCTATAGGGCAGACGTCAACATCAGGAATCTTCCTCAGTTACTCTCACTGATTGTCTAGACTAGCCAGCTAACAAGCTTCGTGGATTCTCTTTCTCTTCCTCCCCAGCATTGGATTACAGATTTACACAGCCACACTTGACTTTGTGTGTGTGCTGGGGATTGAACTCAGATCCCTGTGCTTCTGTGACAGGTGCGTTGCTGACTAAGCCATCTCCCCAGCCCCTAGAGGTCTGTCAACTTAAACTAGCACTAAGTAGTCATGGATGTATGTGTGTCTAAAGAGCACTTCAGGATTTGTCTTCAGAGATTGGCGGACTCAAGGGGTTATTGGTCACCATTTCTGGCTTCACGGAAACACCAGAGTTACTATTATGAGTAAAGATCCTTCGGCCCCATCTTGTCTGGAGCCAGAATGGCCTTGGCCTGACCAGGCCAGGAAGTGCAGTGCACGGTATGTGTTTGAGTTTTGTGTTGGAATCTCTAGGCAGTGTCCCCCTCTGGCCTTTGCTCCTCTCTTTCCCTCAAGACCCACAGATGCCTTAGCTGAAGAAGAGGGTGGCATATTTGACCTGACAGTCATTTTGGTTATCCAAACAGATTCTTGTTTTGTGGTAAGTGCTCCCATAGGATCCTCCTCAGCTCTTCTGGGAAGGCAGGAAATGGATGAGACAGGAGCCTGGCCTGCTGGGCTTGGTGGGAAGCTCACTACCCCACCTTCTCTGACCCTTCAGGTCTCTGCATGCTTTAGACACCCTTTGTTGTTGGCCTCACCCTCTGGCTCATGTTCTGCATGTCCCTCTTAAAGGAACTCTGCTCTCTTTCCACAGGATGTGGCCCTTAGGTGCATTAAAACAATATAAGATGTGGAAGTGGATATAAATACTGGATTTTCCCATCACCGCCTCAGCATAGTGCTGTGTTTTAGAGATGGGAAGCTGATAACCTAGTTGCCTTATTTTACAAATGAAGGAACTGGAACTCACTATTGCTTGCAGACATAAGATATATAGCAGGCTGTTTCTTGCGTGTGGTGTGTTTATTATAGGAGGTGGGCGTGCTTTTCCAGGAAAGGAAATTAATTTGATAGGATGCTGACCTACACTCCACCAGTAGTCATTTTAGTAAACACCTGTCAAATGAGTACAGATTCATGTATTTGGTTTTCTGGACCCATGGACAGCATGCTATTACTGGTCAACAATAAGGCTGCCAGGAGGGAAGGTGGAAGGTAAGTGGGCAGGTGTGCCATGAGGCTCTGA